AAATGAAAATATTAAAGTCAAGTTATACTAAGAGCAGAGAGATTTGAAGAAAATCCATACTGGTTTTATATAGAATGTCCTGGTCCAAAAAAAGGTTGAGGATAAATTAGAACTATTGTTAGAAACAAAGAAGAAGAAAAGATTAGAAAAGAAGAAAAGAGTAAAGAAAATAAAAAGGGAAGAGAAGAAAAAATAATTATTTTAGAGACAAATATATGAGAAGCATTAGCGCTAGATGTTTTAGACATCTGGTAATATTTAAATTCTTGATGTTTTTACACCCATGGGAGTTTTATATCCACTTTGGAGGGCATAGAATGATCTTGAGTGCTCTCAGAGAAGATATACTTCAAAGTATTAGACTATATATAAAGAATTTCTATTTACTAAACATAATAAACATTATTATAACATGTTAAGAACACATATTTTTCTGAATACTTTATGGTACTTCTGTTTTCTTTTTTCTAGTTGAATTTGAATGTTTTAAAGAATGTGTTGTAGTGTCTGATCTTCAATATTCTCATTCAAATTGACTGAATGGTGTCCAGGGAACATTTGATCTGTTTTATGTCATTAACTAGGATTTGAATACTGCAAATGAACCTGGTGTTTTCTTTTGCAGTTAATACAAAATGAAAATTATATCAATGTCTGTACTTAAATAAATATGTTTATTTTAACAAGTTAATTCTTTGACAGACACATAGGGTAGAATTGAGTTGTCAGCTTTTTCATACATGCCATTTTTTGTTCTGTAAAGAACAAAAATCTGTCTAAGGAGAGTAGCTAAGGAGCTCCAAAGTATTTTGTGAGTTATTTATACAAAATCATTTGAAATCAACCCTGTATTAAAACTGGCGGTAAGTGTCCGTACTGTCTTCAAAAGCTGCAGATGCTACCTTACAAAAGAAAATGCAGAACACTTAAATGATGATCTTCCATTTCATCTCCTAGGCATTTAGCAAAATAAATACCAGATTCTATCAAATCCTGATTTTATTATTATTATTATTTAATTTTTTATTGTGAAAACACCATACAGAAGGGTTACAATTACATGGGCAAAGTAATGAGTACATTCCTTATCAAGCATTGTTGCCTCCTCCTTTGTTCCCCTTCCCATCCCTTCCCATCTCCCCCCTCAACCCTGATTTTAATGACATACAATATTGCAGCAATATAAGGTCCTGACCTCAATCAGGGACATTCTTAATATTAATCTGCACCTTATAAGTCTGTAATTTTTTGTTTCTTTTTTTCTCTCCTTTTCCTGACAACATCTTGCTGTACAGCACAGACTGACCTCGAACTCTCCATCCTTCCATCCTCTAGTCTCTTCCGATAGGATTATTTTCAGTGTGTGGTACCACACTTTGACCTTCAAGTCTTTTGAAAGGATATATTTGAATTTATTTTCAGAACGATACCATGGTAAAGGAACATACAAAGTTATAAAGTCAGTGTTATGATTCAGAGACAAGATGCCATGAGCCCCTACCTCATGCTTGACAGTAAATGTTATACCCATGACCCACAGCAACTGCCTGTGAAACTAAGTTTCTTCTGTCTCATGATTAGGATGCCTGCATTGTGCATAGACTCTAGATTTCAGAACTTAAAGAAGGCATTTTTAATAATGCTAGCTATAAAAAAACTTGTTTTTATAGTTTAATAAAAAATGAATAGTAGGAAGCCAGAGCATGTGTTGGGGGGCAGAGTTATGGGAAGAGGAATAGACAAATGGAGAGAAGAAGGGTGGGTGAGTCATAATATTCAATGTACATATATGAACATGGATGAAGTAACTTGGAGGGATGGATGAGGGTGGGGGAGATAGGAGAGAATGAAGGAAGGGGAGATATTTGATTAGGATACATTCAACTCATGCACTGACACGTAGAAATAAAACAGTTTGTACCACTACTTAAAGATAACAATTAATCATAAGAGGTTTCTCTTTGTTGCTGTTGTTTTTAATGTACTATGTGATTTTTTTTGTTTCTTTTGTATGTTCCTCCCCCATGGTATAACTTCTGTTTTCACTGTATTTGATTCTGGTGAATGCATCTTGTATATACATTTTTCTAATTTGGTGAGGGGAAGGGGAAATAACAAAATGCTGAAACAAGGATATAGGATGACCCACTGTAACAATGAGTTGTACAAGACACTATGTTGAAAATGAACTTTACAACTTGATGGGGGCAGGGGGGCAGGATTTGGGGAGGTGGGGAGAGAGGGATAGTAGGGAAAAAAACAAAGGAGGGAGTAACAATGCTCGATAGGAAATGTACATATTACCTTACTCATGTAAGTGTAACTCCTCTGTACAGTAACCTTATAATATAAAAATATTAAAAAGGTAATAAAATAGTAAGCCTTTCATAGTATTTAATGTTTTAATTAATTTTTGCAAAGTAAAACATTTGTTTTTATAAGCTAGACAATGCTACTTAGGCAAAAGACAAAGTGTGAACCAATGCAACAGTGATAATCACAAGACACTATATTGGAAATGAACTTTACTACTTGGGGAATAAATGGAGTCAAGGGGAAGGAAAGTGGTAGAAAATTAGGGAGGAGGTAACACTGTTGGATAAGAAATGTACTCATTATGTAGCTGTAACCCCTCTGTACATCACCTTTACAATAAAATATAAAAGAAATACCTAGCTAAGCCTGAATGGCTCACAGTTGTTATTGCAGTCACTCAAGAAACTAAGATCAGAGGAGTTCTGTTCAAAGCCAGCCTGGGAAGACTTATTTCCTATTACTTCCTATTAGCCAGCAAAAAGCCCAAAGTGGAACTGTGACTCAAATTGTAGAATGCTAGCCTTGAGTGTAAAAAGCTAAGGGACAGTGCCCAGGACCTGACTTCAAGGCCCAGAGCTGGTACACACACACACACACACACACACACACACACACACACACACACACACACACACACACACACACACACACACACACACACACACACACACACACAGAGGGACAAGCTTAAGTTTCCCTTCTCTATGGCTGCTTTTCTGTACATATAACTTAATGAAGGATTTCTTTCTGTAGGCTCTTTCAAAAATATTTTACTTATTTATCATTTATGTTTTTGGTTGATTAGGATTTGCATTTACGAGGTAGTTGGGCTACTACTTGCATCATGCATATAGCCTTTTTTGCTTTGGTGACTTTTTTCAAACAAAGCTTACATTTTTACTCAGACTAGCCTGGACTGAGATCCTACTCATTCTTCCTGCACAATTATGACAATAGAACAGAGGTCAGATTTATTGGTTTAGATGGAGTCTTCAAAATGTTATGCCTGGACTGTTTTTAAACTATGATTCTCTAGATAGCTCTGAGTAGCTGAGATTATAGGCATGAATTTCCTTACTTGGTCTATAGTTTGGGGAAAAATATTTTAAGAATAGAGTTACATGCTACTTTTCTATCCTTTAATAGAAAAACTTCTAAGTATAACATTTATGAGTCAAAATTCCTTTCTTAAAAAAATCAAGTTAAACTTGTTCTGTTCAAAATATACGTATAATAAAATACTTCAAAAGCAAAATGAGCAACCATGAGTGGCCAAAGCCTGTCACAATTTGGTGAGTATCAGGACCCCAGAACAGGGTTTTAATAGTCCTGCCTCCAACTCCAAACATGCCCACCACACAAAACACTGAGCACTTGCATGTTTCCTTAGCCATACATTTTATTTATTATTATTAGCATCAATTGGGTATGCAAGGGGGATTCATTTTTAATATGAGCATTTATATATGCTCATATGTATGTATATATATCACCCCCTTATTTACCCCTATTCTCCCCGCTCCCAAACCAGTTTCAGCCAGCTTCACAGTTGCATTTCCACACATGTATAGGAAGTACTGTGACCATATTCCTCTCCTTTCTTCTCTCTTGTCACCTACCCCACCTGTTAGCTCCTATACACCACACAGCTGTCCACTCCCTCACAGTCATTCTTGTTCCACTACAAGTTGTTTCAATGGGTCCTATCAGGTTTCTTACCTACATAGTCTGTACTCAGAACGATATGTAATGTTAATATACGTGCATGTCCATAGGTATATATATGAACATATATATATATATATATATATATATATGTTCATGTATATATATATATATATATATATATATGTTCATGTGTCACGCTTAGGTGTGAACGCGCATATTTCTGCCTTAGGTTTAGTGTTTCTAAAGGAGAAAACACGTACAATATTTTCTTTCTGCCAAGCACTGGTGGCTCATGCCTGTAATCCTAGCTACTCAGGAGGCTGAGATCCGAAGATCGCGGTTCAAAGCCAGCCCAGGCAGGAGACTCCGTGAGACTCTTATCTCCAATAAACCACTAGAAAACCGGAAGTGGTGCTGTGGCTCAAGCGGTAGAGCACTCACCTTGAGCTGAAGAGCATAGGGACAGCGCCCAAACCTAGAGTTTAAGCCCTACAACCAACCAAAAAAAAAAAATTATTTCTGAATCTGGCTTACTTTGCTTACTATAATGGATTCCATATAATATATTCCATATAATGTAATGGATGGCAGACCCATTTGTTTTATATTTTATTCTTCCTTGGTTAATAATATTCCATTTTTGTGTGTGCATGTTATGTAATAATATATGTAGCATACATTTCATATATATATATATATATATATATATATACATACAAAAATTTATATGTGTGTATATGACCCATTCTTGATACATTACCCAGTTGTGGCTCATCCGGGCTCTTTGTAAAGCTTGGACACTGTAAAGAGTATGGTACATTGTTTCTATCATTTTCTCACTTACTCTCCTGTGGATAAATGCCTGAGTGCTATTACAGGGTAGTTCTGAATGTAGATTTTAAGTATTACACTCCCCCGCTACACTAATGCTCTGAACCATGGACCATATTGAGCAGCAATGACTTAGAGGTTGCCTGCAAAACATAATACCCATTAAACATTTAATTTTTTTTCAGAAAATTAAGTTCAACTGTACCAGAAGAGCACATTGCTGGGAGAACAATGTCAGTTCTGTACAGATCCAAGGAGATGCCCAGTACTTCATCAACGATCTTGGAATTCCCACTGTGCAGTTCGTGTATGAGGACAAGAAGGCCTTGGAGGTGATTGTTTCTAAGCAATGTAACACAGTCATAGGCAGTGAAGCTGTTGGGACGAATTCAATTTCATTATGGCTTCTGGTCTGTCATACCAAACAGGTCACTCTAGAAAGTGGCTTCAATGAGAGCGTTATTCTTGTTCAGAGACTTTTAACAGTATTTGAAAACATCAGCTCTTTCCAATTGTGTCGAATTCAATTTGGAAAAGATTTATGCTGTCACTCACATTTTCACAGTATGCTTTGCAACCAGAAATTTGTAGTCGTTGGATTAACATCAAAACATAATTGTAATCTTTGGTATTCACAGAAACAGATGACATAGGCCATAGATCTTCCATTCTTGGCCTGAGGGAAAATGCATTTCATCAGCTTTATGTTATGGGAGCCTGGTGAATGAGCCACCCAAGATCTGTCAATAGTTTGCTTGCTTGAAAAAGAGATGACAGTTTCTGAAGAAGGAAACCACCATCTTAATCCCAAGAAATATTTCGAAAGTATGATTTATCTTAATTAGCTTGTGTTCATCCATGGGATAGATGTCATTCCTTTTCACCTCAGAATTATATCATTGTAGAGTATAAATATAAATCTTTTGGGATATTTTATCTTCCTTTACAAATTGGTCACACATTATTGAGAACTATTTAAAGGTTTAGAGAATAGTCAGTTTGAAATAATTTTTACATTAAAATAATTATGACTATTTAACTGAGAGAAGCCTACATTGCTCTTGAAATAGTGATGTGCCGAATGTCTTTCCATGATCTGTGGAAATCTTGATTCTAGTTACATAGTAGCTTTTTAGCAACTTTTAGTTCACATTTCTCTGTAGCTATCCTCTAGGCCCTCCCCTTTTAAATGCCATGGAGATAGTCAATCCTCACTAACTCTAATACATAACACATAATACATAATAATGACAACCCAAACTCATGAAAGGGAGAAACTATGGATGAAACCAGGTTTCCCATTATAGGAAATGGGAAATATTATTTTTCTGGACTTTTCTGGCTTTGTATGTTAGAATTTTAACATGCCATTGGTTAAAAACAAGCACAGTTGGAGAGGTATGTCTTCTCCTGTGAAATCTCCAGTGAATTCAGAAATCAAGTCATTTTCAATTTTCCTGCCTGATATATCTCTAATTTCCTCCATCCCAATGTTTCAGCTCCTATCTCATTAGCAAGTTGAACACCAGCAGTTTTTCCCATGTGTCTAATTCATTTTGCTATACATTTCTGCCAAGAATTTAGAACTAATCTAGTATAGCCTTGGGAATTGGACAAAATTCTGACTCTGACACTTTGTAGGCAAAGTATTGGACTTCGCTCAGCATAATTTTACAAACGAGATTCTTGGGTGTACTTAGGAATCTACTTCATAGAACTATGGTAGGGTTTAAATGAAACTGAACATTAGTTAATGTTGAGCTCAGATTGTGGCTCCGTCAACTATGACCATCACAGTGGTTATTATTTGACTGCAGGACAACGTATTGGTGGAAAATTTCCAACTTTTAAGATTAGGACCCTTCCTGGCAAGGGAGGAGCTTATTAACAATTGACAATTAACAAATTTCCTAGGATGTCATCTGATGAACAACAGTGGGTGGATCTCAGGTGTGAATAGGAGAAGATTTGGAAACAAGGCCTGGTGATGTGGTGAGAACTCACAACACTGTGCTGATCTGGCTTAGTCTGAAGGAGCTAAGCAAATATTCCAGTGACACCCAAACATCTAACTCTCAACATCAAAAATATTTTTATTACCATTCTGTAAAAGTAGCTAAAAACAGACCCAATCATTTATGAAAAATAACCTTGCTCATATTGATTTTGTAGAGAGAATTGTGTGTGTGTGTGTGTGTGTGTGTGTGTGTGTGTGTCTGTGTGTGTGTGTGCATGTGTGCGTATGTTTACTGGGTACTGGGGCTTAACTCAGGGCCTTGGTGCTGTCCTATAGGTTTTTTGGCTCATGGCTGGTATTTCACCACTTTAGTCAGATCCTCATTTCCCATGCAGGTTAATGGGAGAGAAGAGTTTCACAGGTTTATCTGCCTGTGCTGGCTTCAAAGTTGGTCCTCAGATTTTAGCCTAATGAGTAGCAAAGATTGAGAGAATTATTCAATGGATTTTTCCCTTACAAAATGTGAATGCTTAGGATGAGAGGATTTTGTGTGAAATCCCCAAAGAACAAATACTAACCTTTATTTCTGGGTTAGCCTATAGCAAAATACTTGGATACAGCTTTTATGAGGAATTGTAACTATAGAAGAGTTTTATCTGTGGTAATAATGTTTATATTATGTCAATTAGTAAAGAAGTTAAGGAAATTAGAGTCCCATCATTAATTTGCTTGAATGTTAAAATATAATTTTTCAATTCTTTTATAATGCACATTGTTACAGGTAATTTTTCCAATAAGTCACAATAATACAGGAGCAATAACAATAAAAGCAATAACAATATTTCTTCTTGTAAGACACTTAATGAAACTTTCATATTTGTTCTAAGTATTATTTATTTTTAATTTTCACCACTGCTGTGATTTAAGTATTTTCTTACCCCAACTTTCTAGTGAGAATATTAAAACTTTTAGAATTTAACTTATTTTCCAAGTTTACACAACTAAGTCTAGGTTTCTGGACACAAGGTCTGGGGTAGTCATTTTTTTAAACCCATACCCTTAGTTTTACAAAATATGTCCTGAAACATTCTGTGGAAATGCCATTGAAGAAAACATCATTGTTCTTGCAGCTACTTTTCACAATGTTTCTTCTCAAACAACATACATATGTAACAAATCATTTAAACTCAGCTTTTCAATAGTACATACTTGCAATTTCTCCTTTTAATGGATTACTCTTTTCAGTTTACATTTGTGTTGGCAATTCAGAGCTAATTCATTAACATTTCTGTCTCAAATTTTATACTCCTACAAATCTCTGAAGCTATTGATGCATGGCTGTGAGAAGAATGTATGCTATAACACAAAGATAACCACAAAAATGCTAATTCAATAAATACAAGCAACAAAACATCAACAACTTGAATGTATACTTACTGGTTGTGGTAAATTGTCCCCAGATACTAAATAAATATCTACCAAGACACAAAGGCCTCCAGCTACTAATTGACTGGTTCCAAGTTTGAGGCATAGGTGTGCTTTGAAGAATGTACAGTAAGAGAGTAAAAGGATTTCTGTAAGGATCATGATAACTAACTTCAATATCATAATACATTTCAAATTTGTGAAGTTTGTGCCCTCCCAAACCACTAACAGTACCTATAGTTTACTTAAGAGACTTTGGGAAAATACAGTTCCTTGACTTTCTATTTTGAGATAATTTTAGATGTATAGAATAATTACAAAAATATTTCAAAGAGCTACCTGTCATTTATAAGCATCTCCTAACACTGAAAACCCACAGAACCTTAGTGAAACTACCAAGAGGTGTAATGCTTTAAACTAAACTGCTTTAGTTCATTGGCTTTATTAAAACTCAACAGCATTTTTCACTAATACTCTATTTCCATCACAAAATCTAATCTAGCCTACTTAGTTATCCTGTCTACTTAGCTTACCTACTCTGCAACAATTCCTCTGTCTTTCCTCATCTTTCATTAATTATGGCCTTGCGGCATTCAAATATTAACTATTCAAGTGAAAGTCTGGAACAAAGTCTTCCAAAAGAGTGGCCCTCATAAACATGCTGGGGTAGTAATACTAATCTAAGATAAAGCTTATTTCAAATTTCGATTAGAATTACAATTAAAATATAATTTTAATGGTCAATATTTAGGAAGATAGCTGGGTACACTAGGAATTAGGAACCCCGAGTTTTCATGTATCTGTATATCATTCGTCAAGCTACAGAGATCCTTTTTCAAATTACATGCCTCTATTTCTCTAACTTGAAAACTTTCAATCTGTCTGTCTGCCAGTCTGTCTTTCTGTCTGTCTATATATTTAGTGATGGTACTGGTGCTTGAACTGAGAGCCTGGGAATTATCTCTGAGCTTTTTGTGTTCAAGGCTATCACTCTACCACTTGAGCCACAGCTCCATTCTGGCTTTTTTGTTGATCAATTGGAGATGTGTATTTTTTTCCTGCCCTATCTGACTTTGAGTATTATATCTCAGTCTCCTGCATAGCTAGGATTACAGGCATGAGCGACCAGCTCCCAACTGTTTCTCTATCTTCATCTAGGCAATGTCTATCATTTATTGAGAGCTTGGTATTATAACAAGGTATACCTTTTATAATTTAATCTTTTACAAATTATAATCCAGCTACTACCATTAACTCCTTTTTCACTGAAAATGAAATGGAATTTAATATTAAAGGTCACAAAGACATTGAACAGTCAGCACAGAAGCTCCCTTCAGATCTGTTTGGCATTCAGCCCACATTTTAAACTATTGCATAAAAGGTTCCAAATTAGAAGCCCAAGGGCAAGATTCAGTCCACCAATTTAATTTGCTTATTAAAAATAAATTTTTGGAAATATTGGGGTTCTCCTTTTCCATGGAAATAATCAGCTGACTGAACATTGCTCTCCCAAGTTTGCCATGATCTCTCCCAAAGAATCTGCCATGGTGTTTGTCTAAGAGTGCAGTTAATAGACTGGAGGTGTGGCTCAGGTGGTAGGGCACCAGCTGTGAGCAGATTGTCACTAGCTGTGAGGGAGACTATAAGGCCCTCAATTCCATCCCCAATACTGATATTCCTCCCCCCAAAAATAGAAAATTAAACTTTAGTTAAGAAGAGTAATTGTTCAATTCCTCTTTCTGTAAAATAAATAAATAAAAAGAGAGAATAGAGGACAGAGAGGCCATGGTTTTACAGATTTATATCACATTCAATATTCACTTGGCTTCTCTATATTATCTATGACATTTTTGGGGGGTGCTGGTACCAGGATTTGAACTTAGGGTTCTTATGCTATTTGCTGGATTATTCCTGCTGATGTTCTGCCACACCTCTGGTGTGGCTTTTTGC